CAGAACAAAGGTCATCATTGCTTCTGGACATTGGTCTGTAGGTTTTTAAATCCCAACCAACTTACGGCTGCACTCTGTGTTTGTTTATGTATCCACTCAACAAACAGACCCTCTACTGAGTCTGACAGTTTCTGTCCTCAGAGATCTTTCAGTTTCCTGATAGGAACAGTTACTGTCAAAAGTAAACACATACACTGACTAAAATTAAAATGAGGTCCTGGAGAAAGAGTAAAACTACCGAGAAAAGGACATGCCAGTATCTTTCTGAGAAAGTAAAAGTATGTTGTACCTTTAGTATGCACAGGTGTCAACCAGGCAAAACACAGAACAGAGGTCAGTGGAAGCCCTGAGGCAGCTGCTGAGTGTGGCTTGGTGGAGGAGCTGAAAGAGGGCCATGAGGCTATAGTGCTGGAATAAGCTCAATGAGAAGGGGAAGGTGTGGACAAGGATAGACTGTGTAGGCTAGTGGAGGCCATGATACGAGCATTTCAATTCTCTCTAGGTGAGAGAGGAAATCTTCATATTTTAGAAAACCAAATTTTAGTGGTTCTCAGCAAACACTAGGCTGCATACAATTGCCTGTTAATTCTAGGCAATCTGATGCCTTTTCTTGGCCTCCAAGGGTATTGCATGCATGCGGTGCCCATACAGACAGCAAGATAAACACATAAATAAAAATAATAGTTTCAAAAATAAATGATTCGATCTGAGATATATTTTTAAAAAGATCACTGAGGACCAAATATTACAGAGGCTGAAGAACAGCAAGATGCCAGTTCACACAAGGCTGGTTTAAACTAGTTAGGATGGAAAGAGGTAGGTAGACTAATATTAAATTCTAGAAGTTACATTTATAGGAGTTAGAGAAGAAAGGCATATTTGAGTGAGGAATGGGAGTTATCAAGACCAAGTCTGTGATTTTAGGCTTGAGCAATGGGCATCTTGGCAATGCTAGCTCTGGAAATGGGAACAACCACAAGACAAACATGTGGGTAGAGGGGAGGCAAAACCCAGAAGTTCAGCTTGGCATGGCTCGAGTTTGGAAGGCCTGTGAGACAATCAAACAGAAAAGTCAAGTACGTGTGTGGTTCAGAAGCATATTCCAAGTGAGAGCTGAGGCTGCACAGAAGTTGCCATTACAGAAAAACTGAAGGTCATGAGGAGGGTCAAGGATACCCTAAAGAGAAGAACTAGAAAGGAAAAGGCAGGAATGAACACTGTCAGACTCCAACACTGGCTGGAGAGTGAGCAGTCAGCAAATCGTCTGGGAAGAGACAGGCAGAGAGGAAGGGCATGGGTGAAAGGGGCAGAGGAGGGGCACAGCCAGGGTATGCGATATTAGGCCCCTTCAAGGAAGCTGTGAACAAGAATGGTCAATAATGCCTCTTTCTGGGTAAGGCAAGGGATGAAAAGAGGTGGGTATTTGGGTCAGTCCTGGTTCCAGAGCAGCTGCGACAGAGAAGTATCCTTAATGGAGAAGGCAGGGGCTGAGGGCAAGTTCCAAAGAAGCAGAGGAGATGAGACCAACTCCTGGTAGGACTGGGCTAGCACCCTCTTGGAACATGAGGGAAGGGGGGTTGACAACAGGAGGAAAATAAGAGCAGGGTGTGGCTGGCAGAGGAAACACTAGTCCTTTTTACTAGACCCAGGTCAGCACTGGAATGCAGTGTGGCGATGGAGAAGTACAGGCTAAGACTCAGCTCTTTCACTAATGTCAGGGAGCCTGAGTACTTGAAAATCTGAGGGATGATGACTGTCAAAAGTTAGAGGCCTGCCTGGGCTAACCTGGAGACACTCGCCCCCACTCCCACAAAACTCCAGACTTAAGATTAAATTCTATACTGTCCATGTTTGTCAAGTTTCTGATGGATGTAATTACAGGATATTAATGGAGAAAATTTATAAAATAATCAGTGAACTGCCATGTCTATATAGTGCACAGCCATCATAAAAGGCTGCATGAGTGTGTTCCTGTGTGAGTATGTGTGTGTGTAAGAGAGAGAGGGGCGAGAGAGAGAGAGAGAGAGAGAGAGAGAGAGAGAGAGAGAGAGAGAGAGAGAGAGAAAGAGTATAGGCCAGAGGTCCATGTAGGACATCTTCATCTTTTCTGCTTCCTGACTGTGGAAGCAATGTGGCCAGCAGCCTCATGGTCCTACCATCCCCAAATCTGGGTTGTATGCCTTCAAACTGTGTGTCCCCCCAAACACTTCCTTCCTTGAGTTGACTTTTCAGGCGTTTTGTTACAGCAGCAAGAAGAGTAACTGATACAGGGAGTGCTCACAAGTGGAGCCCTGGAGGACTTTGTGGTTAAAAAGCTGGGCTAACGTTGCCAAGCTACTCAACAGCTGAGCAGGGATTTGAATCCTGGAGCAAGGCTTCAGTGGTCTTCATTACTAAACTCTCCTTTTGTCTTCATTTCTAAGAGCACAAAGGCAATTAGGGAGTGTTCAAAAAAAATGTACCAGAGAGTGAGGCAAACATGTGCAGCAACCTGAGGCTCTTATGGACATCCTTTCTTATTTTTAGGTGACCACACAGGCCAGCTGGACCAATATTTACAAAGACAACTAGGTTGATTTCGTGCATCATGCTTCCTCAGACAGGGAAGAATGTAAAGTTGTTTGACAAGATTTCTGGCAAAGAGGTGAACTCTGATTGTACCTGGAAAGATTGCTGAAAACAAATGTGTGAAAAAGGAAATAAAATATATGTTTCAGGTATATATAGGCTACATGTTTTCTGGGGGAAAATATTATCATTAGTGTCAATAATGATAATAATCATTATTATCATTAGTATTAGATAATGATAATGATAATTATCATTATCACAGCAGGGGAATCCCTCCAAGGCTCAGGGAGCACTGTGAAACAGGGAATGGAACAAATACAAAAGCTTGAAGACAGGGAGAAGGGGTGTGTGAAGTGCTGTCCTCAGTCATGATACAGCCATCACAAAAACATGGCTTCTCAGCAGCTACAGTAGTCTAAACCAGGAAGGCACAAGAGTAGGCCTGCCAACAGCCAATTGTGGATTAGAAAGGATTCATGGGGATCCTACCTTTTCCCTGATGAACTAGTGGCAACTTAGGGAATTTGGGGGGCAGGGGAGACAGTCATTGTCTTTAGTTACATACTGAAAAGCGAGGCCACCAGTCTCTAAGGCAGAATAAACGTAATACACTAACATACACATATGGACTTATTAAATAAACTTAATCGGTAAAAACAGTGGGAGAGTTATGATTTTGTGATTATATAAGAGTATACTTTAGACCCAAATAGGAAATATAATTAATATAATTAATGGCGACAATTTAACTTAAATTTCCAAGTGCAAAAACACTGTTTGGAGACTTGTCGATAAGTTAGGGACTACTGTATAAAAACCATTCATTCTGAGTGCTCCTTTTACAAAAACAATAAAATATATACAAGGGTTGAAACACAAGACACGTCTATTCATTGTTACCAATGGTTGTAGACTGGAAAGTAGACAATAAACCAAACGATTCAGTTGACTTTAGAGAATGTGATAGCACAACATTAATAATGAGTTTCTTAAATTGCATGTTCACTGGAAGTGTTTCCTGTAAATAGTGCTAGAAACTGTTTAGCCTGTGAATCCTTTTTCTAATATAAACCATCCACAAATCACATGCTTGGGAAGCCTTAACCCATTTGGTACCTAGCTGGGCCTCTCAGTGGTATAAAATAGAGATGAAATCATTTTCTTTTAGTCATATAAATGAGAAAACAAAATTAGAAGTGAATCTGTTTTACATTTCTACTACGACTGCTGAGCTGTGGGTATCTGGCTGCCTGGGATAGACATCTAGAAACAAATTATTGCTTCTTGAAAATTCTCAAAGCTCCAAAGGTCCTTTCTGCCCAGCTAATCTTCCTCTCCATGGATGCTCTCTGCTCGTCAACCAGGTTCCCAGAGTCTCGAGTCCTCTTGAATCCTTGTGCCTTAGTTTGTCTCAGCGAGGGGAACAAGCCTTCTGTGACCCCAGGTCCATGTTCTGCTCAGGCACACTTCTTAGTAACGCTCCTCCAAATTTTCCCTCTCCTTTGCTTGCTCCCTATAAACGTTATTTGTATTTGCATGCCTAGGCAGTAAATCGCTCGCACAGCAATTCACGACACCTTTGAATCAAGTTCACGATTTCAAAATCAATTGAGTGGCACATGCATTTAGCCCAATACATAAAGATGACTTAAAAAAGAGAACTCTCCAAACTGTCTCTTTAACCTATGCTGTTCATCTAAATTCGACAAAATGCAATATAGGTGATGGGGCAAGTGAAAGAAATGTAGGAAAATCTGTCTTTAGTGTTTTGCAACCTGCTTCAAAATAAAAATGCTTCCTGAGACGCAGAAGTGAGTGTGATGACTTTTAAGTGGATATTTTTTCACCTTAACTGACTGATCAGAAGACTATTTATAGCCCCCCTGACTGATGTCTCAAGCTGGTAAATCAACAGCAAGGGAGACTATTTCAAGCACATTTATCATTTAAGACAAACAGCCGAGACTGCGCGTGATTATTTTTTATTCATCATCTTAGCTCACCTCTGTGTTCGCTCCTTCTCACTGTTAATAATATCTGTATAAGTCTTCTCAATATTTAATGGTACAGCCTCCCCACTGCATGCTGATGAGTGTAAGGTCACATGTTTGATCTCAAGAAGGCCAGTTATCTTTGCCAAAAGATGTAAAAAGAAAGGGAGGGGGTATCTGTATTTCCTAGGGTAGCCTGATTCTCGCAGTGTTGTTAGAAACACTATTGTTGGTCTCCATGCTATTAAAAAAGAAATCACAGAATGAAAGCTTTTAATGGGAACAGAGCTCAAGGCATTTCAATAGACTGGCACAGAGACTCTTGAGTGGTAACACAATGTCCAGAATTACACAACCGCTTGGTTCAGAGTCTCTATGACTCAGTTTACCCTCATCTAGGCATCTTGTACAAGACAGCAACACCCAAGAAAATCTTACCTGTTCACTCTCTTCATCATCACTACTTAGCTTAAGGTCATCTTCTAGCATCCTGAAAGAAGGAACAGAGAGATGCAGACACTTAGATTCAAAATCTTTCACTGCTGAAACATCACCTTTTAGTAATGTGTATTTGATTTCTATTCCCCCCTTGTATTTTAAGTGCTTTTCCTCTGATGCACTTAGGAATGAACAGATAAGTCACATCACGAAAACTAACCCTCATGGCAATCACAGGATGAGATGAGGCTCCTTCAGAGTTGGCTGTTGTAGAAAAACAGAACCAAACAGGGACTGTTCCCTAGGAAGTTCAAATTTCACAATTGTTTGTTCAGTGTTTTCCAGGCTGAAGAGCTGGGCTGTGTCCTCAGCCCTGTCTGGGGGATGCTCATGGTAAAGAAAGCACAAGAGCAAGCAGAATTCTGCTGAGGGTCATGCAGCCATAATCTTGAGTCCTAAGTGACATTTATGCAGGCCCCCTGACAGCCAAAGGACTGGAGAGGACGGTCTACTCCCGGATCTGCTGAGTGGAAGGCAATGAACAGCAGGGTACTTCTGAAGAGTCTAGGAGGCCCTTTCCACAGGCTACCAGCCACCCGTGGGTCCTAACACAAGCAGCAAGCCCGTAAAGGCCAATAGCAGACAAAGAAGTACAACTGCATACCCTACTGTGCTTAGGGATGAAGGGTTGTTCTTATCAGCGTTGCTGCCATTAGTTTTTTGCAGTGCAGCTGTTTTCAGATTTGTCCAGCGCTAAAGGAATCTTGCTCAGAAATGCACGCTCTAAAATTCGCTCTGTACACACAGAGCTGTTCTGCCCAGGAGCAGGGAGAGTGCACTGGCACAGAGCCCAGGGCTCCAGACACTGGTCTGGAAGCTGTTGAGCTCTTGTGTTTAAAGACCTCAGTGTCTTCCTTATAGTTAACTTCTGAAGAGTGCTACCAAATGTGCCTATCATAGGCAGATAGTGCTGTTTTAATGTTATTTCAGTGACTTTGGGGGGTGAATGGGGGATCAGGGGCTGTCAGGGCGTGGACCCAGTTATGAAATGTCTAAGTTTTGGGGGTAGGTGAATATAGCACCCTTGTTCACCCCATGGAAGGTGAAGGTTATACCTAGAGATCCTGCTTTAGATTCCATGAGTCTAAGAAATATAATTGTTTCTCCCATCTCACAATGAAGGAAAAATATCCTTTCTATTTGATCAGAATCATTTGGAGAAACAACTGCAATTGAACATGTGCATTTTTTTGGTCATTATTTCCTATCCACAGGGCAGAACACAGCGTTTATGTTGTATTTGGTGTTCTAAGAGCTCTAGGCAAGATTTAAAGCTATGTGGAGACGTGAGCTGGTTACATGCAAATCCAGTGCCATTTTACAGAAAGGACTAGAGTGTCCATAGATTTTGGTATCAGAGGAAGGTCCTGGAACCAAACAATCCCCCATGGATATCAAGAGACAACTGTATTTATTTTTGATAATGTGGCAATAGGGTTTCTGAATGTTTAAGAAACTCATAGGGGCAAATAAGCTGAGAAATAAAGATTTCACAACAAAGCCTGGGAGAGCCAAGTGCTCTCCTCCTTTAAGGCCTTTCTCGATGTCACCTAGTAGCTATAGTGGGGGAATATATTCTAGCTTCTAAAAGTTGACTTAGGTCTACAGAGGCCAGTAAACAAGGCTGCTAGCCCAGTATCTAGGGAGGGCTGCCTTTGGGGGTCAGCGGTTGGTCACACAGGCAGAAGTCACTAAGGTAGACTTTAATGACAGCAAAGATGTTGATATAAAATACATGATAAAATTAAACTTTTAAAATTAGAGGCCAGAGAGCAGAAGCCTAACCAGAGGTACCGAGAGTGGGATTTCACAATCTTGATACCCACAGAGTTGCAGACTGCTAGATACAATCACACAGTGGCTTCACAGTAGGTGCAGGTGACTCAGATCTGTGATACCTACAGGATGTAGGCAGGACATTTTAACATGTAACTGAAGTGACTGAGACTTTATACATTTTTTTCTAAACTTGTAGTCTGTCCAGACAACAATTTCTCTTTAAAAAAATATTGTGTGTGTGTGTGTGTGTGTGTGTGTGTGTAAAAGTATGCATATTGCAGAGGGCAACTTGCAAGAGATGATTCTCTCTTTCTACCACGTGGGTTCTAGGGTTCAAACTCAGATTGTCAGGCTTGGTGGCAAGCACCTGTGCTCACCCAGCCAGACCAAGACAGGTGCTCCCTGCTCCACTGCTAAGCTTCACTCAACTCAGGCAACACTGACCTGCATGGGAAACACTGCCACCTTAGGGTGTACTGAAGCTACTCCATGGAGCGGGGCTTTCAGTTGAAGGGATTTCTTTGAGTTACTTGTTATTTGAAGCTCTCTGAAGATCCTTCAATCCTTTATTTAAAGTTCATTTTATTTTGCTCTACCTTAATGGCTTTAAAGCAAATCTGAGTTTTAATTGAGCTGTTTGATTTTCAGAATTGTTTCTACAGTAGGTTCTGCTACTGTTTCTACCTATCTCAGATTTTAAGTCAGAGACAATGTCTATTAAGCATAAACAATGTCATCATTAAACATATCACTATGCAAGTATCCATTCTAGCAATTAGTATTTCACAATGGCCTTTGTCTTAGGGTTTCTATGGTGGTGATAAACCACCCTGATCAGAAAGCAACTTGGGGTGCAAAGGATTCATTTTATCTCCAGGGAAGTCAAGGCAGGAACTCAAGGTAGGAACCTGGGGCAGGAGCTTATGCAGATCTATAGGGGAGTGCTGCTTACTGGATTGCTCTCTATGGCTTACCCAGTGTACTTTAAAATATTATCCAGTATTATCAATCCAGGGGGGGCACCACCTACAGTGAGCTAGACCCTTCCACATCAATCCATTAATCAAGAAAATGCTCAATAGTCCACAGACCAATCTGTTGGGGGCATTTTCTCAACGGAGATTCCTTCATCCCAAATGACTCTGTGTCAAGCCGATGTAAAACTAACTAGCACAATTTGCAATTAATACCCGCTGGAAAAGAGAAAAAAATCAATTTTCTCTAATGGAGTGTCAACTGGTATATCAACATAGTTCAGAGCAGGCCTGGTGCCAAAGAGTAGCTGACCAACACAAAAAGAACTCAATTTGGGCATATTTGCTCTTTGTTTTGGTATGGTTTTATTTTGTTTGGGGGTATGGGAGTGGGAGAAGGAGTGTGTGGGGGGGGAGGAGGGGGGGAGGGAAGGAGAGAGAACTGGGTAAGTAGGGAAGTGGGGGAGAGGAAAGAATTATTATCAAAACATATGAAATAAAAAAAAATCCAGCACCTAACCAGCACAACCTGTTTGTTAGCCAGGCCTACCCCTTTAGAGGCATTCCTAAGCAGTACACTCCATGCCTTAGAACACTGACTGGAGTGAATATTAGACATCTCATTTCATTCTTTCTGATTTTCTCTGCTCTGTTGGTTGTTACCACCTGGCTGGGTAATTTTCATTAACAAGTGATCTCCTTTCCATCTGTAGCTCTGTAGCTATTTGGAACAACTTTGCCTATAGCATTCTGGGGAACTGGGAACTGAGAAGGCTAGAAAAGCTCTTGAGGGGGGTTGATGACTAAGTATATCCTAGATGAAGATGGATGAAGTGACTTAGCCTGGAGGCAAGTGAAAAATGCAGGATTAAGGCGAGGTGGTCTAGATAACCTAGCAACGTCCAATTGGAATGTATTCTGTTCCATGGATCTCTACATTGTTGAAAACAATTTGCTTCATAGTGAGGTGGTGTTTGCGCACATGTTTCTGTTTCCCAGGACCTGTTCTGGCCACTAGTGAAATCTCCAGGATCCACTCCTGCCATCCCCTAGTGAAAAAAGCAACTCTTCTGTTCACCTGCTTATTTTAAACTATAGGAAAGGTCATCTGATGGTTCCTTTCCTTACTTATTGAGTGCACCTGCTGCAAAGGCTTGTCCTGTTTCAAGAACTGCACCCCATTCTGAACCTTACATAATTTTCGAAAAAGTCAATCTTACTCAGGAAAATTGTCAATCCCAAGTAAGATATGGGATGCATGTATGTATCTGTAACTCAATCAACTGTTTTTCCTGATAGCATCATTATCCATATGTCATTAATGAAGAGAAATCAGAGGAGAAGAGACTCCGCAATCTGGAGGTAGATATTTCTCCAGTCAAGCCTTGGGATAATTGATAAGAGTCCCGGCTGGTATTATATTTGCATCCCATGACAGACCCTGAGCCAGAGGACCCAGCTAAGCCACACTCAGATTCTTTACCCATGAAACAATATAATGGATGCTGTCTTGAGCTACTAAGCTGAGGGGTAATTTGTTAGGCATCAATAATTAACTGGTATGTTAGCAGTAAGTATTTAGTGTGTCTCTTCGTGAAGACTGTCCCCAGTGACTTCAGGTGAACCTTTGTAGCCAACATTCAAGATGTCCAACATTAGAAATAACGTGAGAGAGACATTTACTAATAGTGATATTAAAAATAAGAAGGTGAGTCTGATACATTCTATTTATGTCAATACAATATTTCTGTATCATAACATATTTTTTAAGTGCTCAACATGTATATGTGGCTATCAGGTAACATAGGCTCTTTTTTTTTTTTTTTTTTTTTTGGTCAGAAGGTGAGGGTGTTCAAATTCCCAGAATGTCCTCACATCTTTTTGTGGAGGAGCTCTTACACTGCCTGATAGGGTGCATGGGACAGGCCAGCGGAAGTGACAACTTTCAAAAGTGTGTAGCAGTTAAGAGGAGCAGAAGGCACATTTTCCTTGACTGTTCCCTTTGCCCAGCAGCGTCCTAGCAGCTCACGGTGTCTGAGTCAGATGTGTCATTGACTCATCTTGCTATTAATTCAAATGAGTGTATGCATGACACACTGCAATGCATTGTGAACTCTGACCTCAAAGAAGTGCCCAGAAACAGAAATAAGTGGACCACAGGAGGGGTGGACTTTGATCAATGGGCTTAGGGGTCGTGTCCTAGGAGAAGAGATCAGAAGGTGAACTTGTAAACACATCT